ATAGATAGATAGATAGATAGATAGATAGATAGATAGATAGATAGATATAAATATATAAATATATAACTAATCTAGGTGAGGTGTTAATATATATTGCTAGTCCATGTATGAAATGCCATAGGCTGAATAAATAAATAGAAATCTGGAAGAACGGTGGGATCATCTTTGCAGCTGCAGTTTTTTTCGTTCCCCAGAAAGCAAAGACCTCAGAAAGCCAATCGGGGTGGAAGAATTAGCCAGTTATTTTTTGCTCCCTGCTACAAATTGCCAGAGTGAGCTGTCAAAGTCACACGCAGGGTGGAAGCTGTTGTGTGCATAATGCCCTGTGCACCTGGGCTCCTACTCTCTCAATCCTTCCCCCAGGCAAGGAGCAGGAGAAGGAAAATGAGGTGTTAATGGCTCTGGATGAGGCACAGAGAGAGAGAGAGATAATGAAAGGGGAGGCACTGGTTGGAATGCTTGTGTCCTTTTCTTAGAGAGGCTGTGTTTCCTTCATTATTTTGGCTTCTTGCAATATGAATCTAGCCTAAACACAATTTCATTTCCCAGGAAAATTACCAGGCACGCTGGCAGCTTCGGAGGAACACGGTGCTGCCTGGGACTGAATGTTGAACATCGCTTCGTAAGTCATTCCCTCCATTTCCTGCTCACCTTCCAAGACGCTGAGCAAAGAGAAAAAAAGAAAAGGCGTTGGATTCCACTCCTGCAACAGGAAGAGACGCTCGGCTCAAAACTTCAGCACAGACATACAGGCTGCTTCGTGCAACGTGGCGCCTGGTTCCATACGCCGTTTTGAGTCTGTAAGCATCTCTGGCCTTTGCGCCAAGGAGAGCAGCATCCTTTGGATCGGGTTGCTTTTCAACTCCGGGCCAAGCCTCAAACAATTCCAGCTTACAATGTTGCCGGGAATTCAAAAGTCAGCCTGATTTCGCTTGTAACTATAGCAATAGCAGCAGCACTTAAGACTTATATGCCGCTTCATAAGTGTTTTTTTTACAGTCCTCTGGGGCGGTTTATAGAATCAGTCTCTTGCCCCCCCAACAATCGGGGTCCTCATTTTACCGACCTCGGAAGGAAGGAAGGCTGAGTCAACCTGGAGCAGGATCGAACTGCTGGCAGTTGGCAGAATTAGCTTGCAATACCGCATTCTCACCACTGCGCGCCACCACAGATCTACACCTTTCCACTCATCTACACCTCTAAAATCCAATCATAGTCACACGCACTGGAGGGGGGAAGACAAGGACTCCCTCACCGTGAACCAGGATTCATTTCCGAAGGCAGCTTGGCATCGGGTTTTTGTCCCGCACAGCCAGGGGGCACCAGTGGCAAGGAGGAAGGGGACATGTACTCGGAGTCTTCGTCATTCCCAGAGGCCTCTCCAGAGAGCAGTTTTGGGGCAACCAATGATCTGGGGGAGAGAAGACAAATACAGGTTTGCAATCTGGGATAGAAGGCAGCTTGCTGCGTTCTGCTGATGAAACTTTTGTAGTGAAAGTTGGGGAGGCTTTTGGTCCGTGTGTCAAACCTTTCAAAAGTTTTAACTTTGTGACTTGCAGTGTGCCCAGTCTTGCATCACAAATGACAACACAGCAACACAGCTGCACGCACACACACACACCAGGCAATATGACTGCAAACACACACACACACACACACACACACACACACACACACACACCAGGCCACGAAGCCTCACACTGTCTGAAGACAGCCTCTTACGTTAAGCTACTCGTCTGTTGAGATCCAGTTTGATCCTATTTTAGTTTCATGATGTGAAACCTCTTGCGGTTTCTCCCAACTTCAGTCACCCGAAGCCATCCTAGCAAACCTCCCCAAACGAAACAAAAACTGCAGCCAGATTTACCTAAGCAGCTTAGCCTAAAATCACCCGCCCCATTTGGCGCGTTCCAGCGTCACGGAAAGCGATGCCTTCGCTACAGAGAGGATCAGAAACCAAATGAGGAATCAGATACCAACCGGAAACTCTCCCCACGAGTTTCTACAGAGTTTCGAACTTTGAGTAATCGATTGGGCAATTCGACCTTCGCAACGGTCGTAAAATTTTCCGTGGCTGGGAGCTCCCCTGAGGACGCAACTTACCTTATAGAAAGAGAATAGATGGCATTGGCAGAAGAAGATGGTTTGATTTTAGAATGCTCGCTGTCTAAGCCAGCAGGAAGCCCCAGTTGATTCTGCAAGAAAACATTGCATCAGACGCCACCCCTGGTGTACGGTTGGAGGTGCATTTATTGAGCCTCCATATTTATTTATTGTAGTTATAAAAAAAAGGCACACTTAGGCATCACTTGGGTTAGCTTCTAGCCAGTGCATTAGCTCCTTCTCTCAAGGAAGACATCACCACCTCATGGGCCCAACTATTTGGTCACCTCTTGAATGGCCTGAGGAAGTAGCAAAGGTCTTGTCCATTTCCTCAGGAGTTATAGGATCAAAACTCCTCCCAAGTAAACAAGAAGGGCCAGCTCTCCCTTGACTCAGTGATCCAGCTCCAAGCAACTTTGCCCACTAGAAAGAATCTTTGCTATTCCCAACGTTGCCTTTGGGTAGGAGGAGAGGCAGAAACTGTGAGGGGGAGTGGGGGAGAAATATCTGCCTCTATCTAGGATCGAACTCACAGCCTCCTGATTGTGAGGTGACAACTCCACCTCTAGGCCACCGCACCACTCCAGTCCTGTGCATAACCATGAGCGGCAATAAACCAATTTAAGTGGACCTTATGTGTGGACCTGCACTTTTGCGCCTGGGATTTTAATAGCTCTTGCAAATTTCATAAATGAAAAGGAGGGGTAGAAGGGTTATGCTGCAGAGCCCATTGGTCAAGGAATTCCGACTGGCGGGGTCCGAGGGAAGAGCCTCTTCTGCCGTGGCTCCCGTCCACTCGAACATCATGCCCTGGAGGCGAGATCTGCATGCACCCTTTGGCTTTCTGAAAGGGCCTGAAGACTTGTCCCTTCCAATGACCTGGTGCCCCAACAGGGGTGTGTTATACTGGAAATGATTCGTGGACGGGGATAAGACCCCCCACCTCCTCCCCATGGGAAGCCTGGCACACCCACACCCACTCACCACAGGAGTGTCCAGGCTCAGAGTACTGCCCAGTCTGTGAGGCTCCACCCTGGCCTCCATCTGAGAAGGCAGCGAGAAGGGGAGGGAATGCCGGTTCTTCAACTCCCTATTGGCCCAGGCTTCAGTGGGAGCCTTCAGCAGGGGTCGCGAGGGCCAGAGCTCTCCCTGACGGTTACAGGGCACGGGGGGCAGCTTGTCCCTGGAAGGGCCGTCTCCTGGAGTGCAAGGCAAGGGTCGTCTCTGGGACCGAGACTCTGCCCCAATGGCGTGGGGCCTGTCTGGAGGAGGAGGTGGTGGAAGATCTCGGTGAGTTGGTGGGATCGGCAGAGGTTTGTCTTTGTGGAGAGAACCAGGTACAGCCTATAAAGTAAGGGAAAGCTTTCCAAGTACAGTGATATTTTAACTTTTCTCTTCGAAGCAGTTTCTCTTGGTGACTTTAAGATGCGTAGACTTCAACCCCCCCAGAATCTCCCAGCCAGCCATGGCATTCCAGAAGTTGCAGTCCACACATCTTAAAGTCACCGAGGTTAAGATACACTAAAATTAAATCATAATATCCTTCCTTCTATAATCCTGTGTAATCATCAAAGCCATGGATCACACGTTCATGTTTGTATATGTATGCAAAAAGTCAGAAAGGCCACATCAGAAGTTTCCAGCCACCGATAAAACAATGATTAGATTATAACAGGCAAGTTACAGAGGAAAGGTGACTCAGCCCAAAGTTTGTAAGGAACCACAACATGCCGTTAACTTGGGCAAGAAGAAGTAGGAGCCAGGCTGAAAAATCAGTCCATCAAGGCTATCATTTAACTCAACAAATACATTAGCTGGAATTTGAATCATCAAGAAGAGGGAAAGTGGAAAAGTCCACAGTGCCACTGAAGAAAATTAATCAAGCCCAACACAATTAAGATAGTGTGAGAATCCTTGGAGCTTTCTGAGCTTGGTTGTTTTCTTGGAGACGTTTCATTATCCAGCCAGGTAACATAAAGTGCTAGCTGACATCATGTAGCATTGAAGATGTTACCCAGTTGGGTAATGAAACATCTTCCAAGGATACCACAGTTCAACCCCTCAGCTACAAAGGCTCTCTTCCATTGGTCCATTTCGGGTAAGGCGTTTTTCAAAGGACACCTCATCAGTCTAACAAGTTCCGGTACCTTGGAAGTGGTTCCTGGGCTCGAAGCTCCAGGTGGGTTGGGCACCCGCTGCTGCTGCTGCAGAAGGTCCAACCGTGGAGGTACTGGCGGAAGGGCTGCCTGGGGAGTCATTGAAAATGGAGAAGGAGGACGTTCCACCTGAAGAGAGGCCAAGAGGAGATCCAGTGAAGACGTTTTAAAAAAATATCAGGACTAATCATCAAGTGACCACTACCATGGCATTTCAAGCCACCTTTTCTTCAAGCCAAGCGGGAGACCTGCTGTTTATCTTTATCCAACAAATACGAGCAGGTGCTCTTCTCTTCTGCCCCAGGCTTCCTAAACCGTTAATTACTCACGCTCTTGTTTTAAAAATAAGACTAATTGCAGCGCTGGGAATTGTTTTCATTCCCAGCCGGAATTAATCTCAAACAGTCCCCCGAGATAAGCACCCACCTTTCAGTTCTGTGAAATGATGCCAAAAACAGAAGTATCAGATGAACTAGAAAAGGAACCAACCGAAGTACAAAAAAACCCAACCGAAGTATGAAGAGCTTCAAGGATGACTCTGAACCAATCGAACTACTTTGCTTCCTGCAAAGGTTTCGTCATCTTGGCCTGACTTTTATGCCTTATGGGAGGGGCAATCACCTCCCAGCCTTACCTCTGAGTCGCTCCTTCTGCTTCAGCTGCTTTCACCTTCTAGCAGCTCTGTGCACACACCCACTGGGAACAGGCTCCCCTGGGTCCTCTGCCTCACTGCTGCCAGACTCCAGAGGCTCCGAAGGCAGCACCCCACTCCCACATGGTCCTGGCCACATCTCTGCATTGGACGCAGGACCCTCGTCTGAGTCCTCCCCAGAGTCCCTGACTGGTCCCCATTCTTCCCCACTGTCCGATTCCGCTGCCGTCTGCACCGGCTGCCGGCGAACCATAACATCTTCCTTCCTGTTCATTCCAATACAGTATCTCAGGAATAACAAGACCTGTTCTGTCACCGATTCATCTGCATACTGTTCTTGAACCGGACTAGCCGAGGGCATAGTTTTTAAAGGTGACAGATGGTCACCTTAAGGACAGCCAGCAGCTGAGAGCACAGGCCTGCTGATATTTGGGCACAGACCCGGAACTGGTCTCTGCTGAGGCACAGCGATCCCAGAAATCATTAACAGGTTTCCAAGAGAGCAGAAAACAAAATGGGTCCATCTGTTATGCCAATCAAAGGAGGTACATCAACAGGCAGACAATGGCAGCTCCAGCAGAGGCTACGTCTTCCAAGCTGGTCGTGAATTCATTACTCAAGAAGAGACTCAAAGAGACGCATGGCTAACCAGGACGCCTCAAACACAAGGAGACAGGACTGACAAGCTCAGCTGTGGGGCGGCCGAATGTAAAAGACCGCAAAACCCAAGAAAACACACACACACACACACACCTTGCCAACTTGAGCTCTGCATGGCCGCTGGGAGGAAACATTATCAGGATAGAGAGCAGGCAGAATGGATAGGGCTACTCACTGCAGCATTTTACTTGCAGAACTCGCAGCTGACTGCCGATTATAGACATTAATATTGACAATAGAGACTTTTAATTAAAGTGGAAGGCTGACAACCGTCTGAAACCAAACACTAGAAAACATATGTAAACTTGGTTCATAAGATTTAAAGGGGTCAAACTGAAGGCAGGTTCAGGGTCTGTACAGACTATCATTCTGAAGACCTTACTGGCTGGCTGCCTCCCTCCTATCCATCCATCCCATCCCATCCCATCCCAATTTATATTACTTTACTTCCATGGAGGAGACCATCAGTCCAGTCTTACCTTTGCACCAGCCAGCTCTTTCATCATGAACAGGGATTCATCCGTTCTGTCATCATCATCGTCGTAATTTGGAGAGGGGGTTCCTTCTGCCCCTGGCCTCAGAAGCCCTCCCCCTCCTCGGGGATCGAAAGGGTCCACCACAATGGGCTCCGTGCCTTTAATTTCACAGCGGCAGAACGGGCATCCCTGCCCCTCCGATTCCTGCAAACAGAGAGCAGGACCACGTGATTCACTCAGGGCCACCCCATGGATTGTGGCTGCAGGATTATCTTGGCACACGGGAGGGAGGGAGGGAGGAAAGAAGGGAGAGAAAGAGGGAGAGAGAGAAAAACTTATAACCTGCTACTGCAGTAGGAAATTAACTAGTCTGAATGTATGACTAGAGGCCTTATGGGCACACCAAAAGAAAGAGGAAGAAAAATCAAATGTTCTACCTCCCTCCCTCCATCTCTTGCACACAGACAGACACAAACACCTTTGCCTCCTTCACTGCACAAACACATTGGAGCACAACTGCATAATGGTTGACTCAGCCTAGAGGAAGAACACCCATTCTAGGTGCCTTTCGCAAAGCTGGTGACAGCAGCCATGATGCAACATGCCCAGCCAGGTGCCACTTTCTGTAGGGGCTGCAGAGGGCCATGTTTACTCTGACGGGGGGGGGGGGGCGACCCCACATACCTGCCATGACGTGAGACAAGAGGTGCACATGAGGTGCCCGCAGGGTTCTATCTTCACATCTTTGTCGTTTTCGGCACAGATTTTACAGAGCTGGAAAGTGGAGCCCATCTCACAGTAGAGTTCGTACTGCTCCTGAGGGTAAGAAAGGGAGACACATCTTAAAAAACACCCTCCTGGAAACAGCCTTTTAAAAACTCAGCTTCCACAAGGGCCGCGGAAAAGGGAGAGCTTGCAACGCATTTTTTTTAAAAAAATCCACTGGTGACCACTCATTTCAAAAAGTAAGACTATTGATAATGGAACAGGGTGTGATTCTTAAATCATGGCTGCAAGGATTTCAAAGTGCAGGCGTTGAAAAAGACAGAAAATCTGTTAAAAAAGAAAGTGCTCTCTAACCGAGATTCCCCAGTTCTCCTGTTCAGTACCCTTTTCTCCAAATGTGGACTCCACACATACCCAGAGTGGATAAAAATCAATGTTGTTGTTTTTTTATTTAAAAAATGGATTTTTAAAAAATTTAAATCGTATTTTTTTTAATTTTCATCGAATTAATTTTAATCAAATGCTTCTGGAGTAAAAATCTATCTAAAATAGTTTTCTATCTAAGATACATTAATCATTTATTCAGCGTGAAATGGAGCTTAGTTATGTAGCGTGAGACTGTATATTCTGCAATATTGGGACTGTTGGTGAGTCAACAGCGGGTCAAAGGGACAGAGAGACAGAGCTGCCGAGGGACAGAGATGACAGTTGCTTTTTAAAAATTATGTTTTTAATCAAGTTAATTTAAATCAAGCCTTTTTAACTAGTGATTTAAATCCACCCTGCACATCCTTCTGTGTACTTTCCGGGTTTGTTTGTTTTTAAACTGTAGGAGTAGATGAGGCGTCCCCAAACTTGGCAACTTTAAGGCTTGCGGACTTCAACCCCCAGAATTCCTCGGCCAGAGCATTCTGGGAACTGAAGTCCACAAGCCTTAAAAGTTGGCAAGTGTGGGAAACCCCCTGGACTAGGCAGAAGGAATGGAGAGGAAGGAAGGATCTCCGTTCACCTGGGTGACTTTAATGTGGTCCTGGGGTGTGGGCTCACACAGGCCGGTCAGGTCCGGATTCTGGTTTCTTCCATCGGGATATAAGTAACTAGAGGAGAGATGGGGAAAATTATTTCTTTTAAAAGAAAGATACAGCTGAGCAGAGCAGAGCCTCAGACAAATGGGAGAGATTGCATTCTTGCAGAGGGCTGAATTAGGAGATAAAACTTAATTAGGGAGAGACCTTACAAGGCCCCAAATGTGGGAAAATAAACAGAAGTTTGAGTTGTGATTCCCCTGCCGATGAAAAAAACGGAAAAGGCCTCTCAGCTTCGAGCTGCTCAGAGCCAAACCTGTTGCTCAACCAGCTTCAGCCAATCGCAGGCCTGGCACTTAAAAGAAGCTTGCACCGGTTTGGTCTAGGTGGCTTGGGGAAGGAAGTCACGTGCACCTGAGGCCACACACCCCTTGGCATCAGAGATGGCCGTGCAAGTTCCCAGCTGCCTCTTTTTGCACAACGAGGCACTGACACACCTGCCCTCTTTTTGATCTTGTTGTGGTTTGTTACTGATGCCAATCTGTCAAAACGCCACAGGGCTGGAAAGAGAAACTCAACCGGTTGCGTATCGAAGGACTGTGCAAAACCTTGAATCCAGGTGCCTGGTAAGGCAGGTTACATTAGGACAAGCACAAGGACCCTCTTGGCTTTCAGAGAAAGAGCCAAGGAGTTTCAGAGGTTCTGCAGCTTTGGTAGAACAGACTGAATTCCTTTCCACTCTTCAATTACAGGGAGTCCTCGCCTTACGACTGGTTGCTTAACTCTCTCGTTTCCTCGAAAATATGACCTACCCTGAAAGTAAGTCCTAGCTTGATTTTTTTTTTACACATGCACCCAATATAAGCCATACCCCCCCCCCCCCCGCAAAACAAGCCCTAATTAAGATCCTGCCCACTTCAGAGTGCATGGGTAAAAATTAAGCTAGAGTGGGGATGGGGAGGTGGTGGAGCTGCCCTACTACTTACCTTTGGACAGGTGTAGCCAGGCCTCGCACACCCAGACACCTGCCTTGCTGGGTCACTTCTTCTGCAGCCGGCAAGGCTGGCCATGGTTTCCTGAAGGCTTCTGGAGCTGAGAACAAAGTTCTGGATCGATCTAGAGCTCCATTATTGGCTGCAGAGGCCTCAGGAAAGCCTTACCGGCCACAGAAGAAGTTCCTGAAAGCCTCTGACACCAAAAAGAAAGCCAGGGGCGACGCATGCAAGTGAGGTTATTCAGTGGATGGCATCCCCCGAAAATAAGACCTGGTGCCTTTTTTGGGTGGCAAAAAAAAAAAAATATAAGACAGGGTTTTGTTTTCGGGAAAACATGGTAGCCTTTGATGTTATGATGGACTCAAAATATGTTATTTATGGCCCGTCCTTAGGACTGCTGCACAGCCCCGTGCTCACGTCATTGCATTTTGAGTTTCTGCCCTTTTTACAGGGGGGAAAAATGATCACTGGTTAAGCGGGATTATGATTTACAAGCATGGGATTCGCTTAATGACTGTGGTAACTCAGTTAACAAACATCATAAAAATCGAGTCCAGCACAGGGTGATTTGACTTATGATCACAATGGCTTACAAGCAAAATTCTGGCCTCAACGGCGATCATAAATCAAGGACTGCCCGTATAGGCACCTTATCTGAAAAAAGAACGAATCAGAGTTATGAGACGGTGCAAAAAAAAAAAGTCACTCACAAGCCTTCCCTGAAGCCATCAATCAGTGCTTGAAAAAGAGGTTTGTTGTGGGGAATTGTCTGGAGGATGTTTCCATCTGCAGTGACATAGCCAATTGCCCACTGACCAAGTCGGGTACAACTCAGACGAAAAATGTAACTAAAACAACAACGACAAAAAGATACATTGGTAGCTGAACAAACACAAATGTGAACATCCTACATATAAGGCCTTCTTTGAGTGACAGCACAGCAGAAAATCTCTTTTCCCCTATCCTGGCAATCATAATAATCTGAATGCTTCTTTCAATGTGTATTAACTATCATGGCCCCTTACTTCTTGGATATTCTAAGTTGGCTTGATCATCCTATTGGGGCATTCCTACTGAGGAATGATTAAGCCTGGAAGAAACTTATGATTTTGTAAACCCACCCAGAATCTATCAGTCAGTAAGATGAGTGGTATCTAAATGGATTGACAAATCAATTAATCATCAATGGGCTTAACCCTGCAAGTGCCAATTTTTGGCATTTCAAATTTACAACGTCCCTGGTATCAACTATTTTCGACCTATAAAACGCTTAACCAGAACATGAATGGAGGTTAGAAAGGCTGCCTTGAAGCGCTCACCTTCCGGGTTTGTGAATGAACTTCTGAAGCCGGGCTTTGACCTCATCGTAGGTCAGGAATGCCATGTAGCCAGGATGAGTCACTGCAAGGCTATTCCAGTTTCGAAGCAAAGACGACCAGGGCTGGGTTGGGGGGGAAGGTGAAAAGGTAGGGAGTTACTTCAGCAAGGAAACAGCCTTTCCAGTCGTGGCTCATTCCACTTCCCCTGCAGTCACATCCCCTCCGTGAATTGACTTCGGCCACATTCAACCCCAACCATTACATTTCAAATAGCAGCAGAGAATTTAATTGGCATTTTAATGGGGCATGGCCATTTTTCTTTTCAAAACTATCCCCCATGCCAGGTTATCAATCCTTCCTGATCCCAGAAATCCCAACGGACAGTAGAAGCCAGAGAGATTCGGGAGGCAAGGAAGCCAGTAGATGGAGAGAAGGAACATTTGAAGGTTGAGGCTGTACAAGTCAGGGAGAGGAAGATCGACCATTTCAACAGGAGGAGGAAAAAGCTGTTTCAGTGATAAACCAAGGTCTGTCTTTGGGGAAATCGTGGCTTATCAATAAAAAAGAAAAAAAAAAAGCTTACCTGAAATAGACGGGTAAAAATATCAAATTCAAACACTGAAATGTAATCGTTGCATGTCAGGTCAATGGTTGATTTCAATGCCATGGCTTCCAGGCCGGAACTGATGGGGTGGACTTCGTGTAATGCTTGGCGGAAGGTTTTCCATGGGACAATAGTCCTAACAATAGGATAAAGATAGATAGATATATATTGGCATGGGGTTTTTTGCATCATAGGGACTTAAAACATCTGCTAAATCAAACAAAAGACTTCTTTCACCCAGTGTTGTCTTTCCTAGAGGAGCCAATCAGATTCATTTATGATAGCTTTTCCTAACCTTGCCCATTTTAAGATGTGTGGACTTCAATTCCCTGGGAATTGAGCATCTCCTGGGAGTTGAAGTCCACACATCTTAAAATGGCTATGCTCTGGGAAGTCCCTGAACAAGACATCGACTCAACAGCTCTATCCCACTCATGCTTCCTAGCCATAAATATTCAAAGCACACATCATTTCTGACGCTGGACATTATACCATTTCCCATAAATTGCTTTTAAAACCATCAGTGTTAATGGGCCTTTTGTCCATGCATATAGAGTCACAACCACAAGAATGGAAGTACACAAATGTAGGCACATGAACTGCTTTGAGAGAAACAATGTACAATTACTGAAAGCAGACAACATCAGTTATAATCCTTAATTTGTCCAATAACTGGTTAAAGCAGCTACTGACGTAACAGCAGTATAAAGGAATGTCATATAACTGCATCTAAACAAGATTTTTGACATCCAAGTAACTGTACTGAGATACTAAATAAAGGAAGTAATGAAGACTAACTGCTTGCAGGCAAGGTTATGAGTGCACATATTTCATAAGTCTTAATTTTCAGATATGTCGTGCGTATTTCATATGGGAAAAAGCTTGAATCTGGAATGCGATCAAAATTAATCTCCAGAGATAAACATCTCAAGTTATGGCAGTGTAGCCTGTTGAAGCCAAATGAAACATCAATTCCTCAACAAATCAACCATGAACAAATTTACTCTCTGAAGTCAACCCTTCTATTATCAAGGAAAGGTCAAGGCTGAAAATTATCATGAAGCTGTGTGTGTGTGTGTGTGTGGATTTTAATCCTATAAGAGTGGGAGCTACAGTCAGATAATTTCAAAGAAATACTTGAATGCCTTCACCCAGCTTTGACAGTCTTGTAGCTTTGGGGTTCCATCTCACATAAGTTGGATGTGGTAAAACCACGAGAGACAAACCACTCCAGTTATGGGTTGCCTGAAGAACTTCCGGAAGCCTAAAAGCTTATTTTGGAAATTGTACATACTTCTCCTCAAAGGCTTTTCTCCAAAACTCGGCTGCATCTGCCTTCGTGATTCGGAAAGTGTCCCCTTGGAAGAGTCCATTTGGAAATATGCCTTTCAGTTCTGCCAGCATGTGGCTGAAGATCAGAGACAATTTGGTCAGGTTGCGCCTGCAAGAACGGAAAAACACACCTTTGTAAGTCACTCTGGATAGTGAGATGAGTGGCAGATAAATTAAACAAATAAATGTGCCATGAAATGGGAAAGCAGCAACCACAAAATGAAAGAAGAAACTGGAACGTTGATTTTTCAGGTCACATTCTGACTTGGTTTTTCTAGCAATGCATTCTAATTCACAGCAGTTTGGAAATTTAGGTTTACAGTAGTTTACAAGCCCTCTTTATCCCTTCAGGTGTTTTATTGGCTTACGCAGAGGGTGCAATAGAAAGATGGATAAAATGCTTTTAAAGTAAGGCAGAAAAATGATGACCCAGCTAGGAGTTACAAGTCCTTCAATCAGTGTTATATAATAACTATCTGTCCAGACAGCATTTCATTCAAAAGAATTCCAATCATAATTTAAGTGTACCTTATTAAGCAAAATTAAGGTTTGCATAACTGAGTGCACAAGAGCCATCACCTTCTGAGTACATACACCCAGGCTACTCAACACAGGTGTACAAGAAAGGGGTAAATTTAGGGTGCTTGTGTAAGAAAATTATCAGCCACAACGAGGGAGGCTCCTGTAACTGGTCTAATCAACAGTGCCAGATGACAACCAAATTCAAAGAATAAGATTCTTCCTTCACTATTATTGCCCTTCGGTGTTAAGAAGTGAGAGCAGCTACTTGCAGTGCTTTTAATCAACGAGATTAAGAGAAGTTAACACCATGTACAACTTATTTTACTCACACACGTGGAAAGTCGGGGTAGGACCCTCAAACCTAGTTTCCTAAAGCCCCCCACTTTCTTGGCCCACGGGTGATCTCTTCTGCTAGCTTCCTCACATTATTTGCTCGCCTTATATCATCTCTGGGCTAATTAATGAGAATTTGACCGATTATGGCTTCTTTTGTTCCAGGGAAAAAGCATCAATTATGTTTGGAACTTCATGACCACTTTGGCATTAAAACGTAATTTTTGAATAAATAAAATGTTCAAGTGTCAAATGGAAAAAGGCCCTGGAAGACACCTGTGAGCATATGTTAAGCATGATGTGCGTTTTACTCACAGACTTATATAAAGAACCAAAGGTACGTGAGGCACTTTCTAGCTCTTACACCCCAGAAGGAGCAGCACATCTACACAAGAGCAGCAGCAAAAGACAGCATTTTTTTTTTAATCTCTTGAGTAGGCTGTAGCTGTGATGGAATCCCTCCTGTTTTAATTTTCAGGCAGTTAGCTGTGAGAGTGTTTATTCCAGATCATTATTTTCCTTATCAACTACTGTTCTGGCACCATTCTCACTTCCCAATTAATATGCTTTCTCAAGGGGGACCTCCCAGAGACTCAAACACGCCTGTGACATTCACATGAGGGAGAGAGCTCGGAAAGGAGGGAGGGAAGCTAAATGCTTCTAGGTAGCCGGTCACTCTGGACGGTCTAAAAATACGAAGGGAAGGCGGTGGGTGAGATACGAGTCTTGGCTCTGGGCCAGCGTGGTGAGTCTCCCATCCAAGGAGGTGGAGTTGAGATTTTGTGCATCAACTCCTGAAGGCAACAGTAGCTTCACCAGACAGAATTGAAAATTAACACTCTATTAAATATGCTGCATCAAAGCAAGGGATGTTCTTTTCTTTTTTTTCCCACTTCTCTCCACTTGGCTCTCCTCTTCAGTTCCTCATTACTTTCTGGCTCTGTCCTGCAAAAAGTCAAGAGGTCAACCAAGCTCTCAGCCCCACTGCAGCCTCTAGCAGGGCCTCATTTTCCTGAGTTCAGTTTTCTGCTGCCTTTGCCTCTGACCTGCAGCAGGCTGTCCTTTTCCTGCTTCCTGTTTGCTGGATGAAAAACATTCTACCATGATAAGGGCTTGCCTTGCAGAAGTCACTGGGATGTCAACTCATTCCGGTCCTTCTTTGCACCCATGAATCTTTAAAACCGTCCTTTCACACCTCCAACTAGCTGCTCCAGAACTTCCCAGGAGTTCTTCTGAAGAACAGTGTTTTAGTCCGTTAACTGAGCTTATTACGTTCAGCAGGGGGGGGGGGGGGAAATGCCCTCAATTTCAGTTGGTGCCTCTGCAGAGGAAACATGTCTGCCTTGCGACACCTTTCCTGAAATTATACATCAGGGCAATCATCACACAGCCAAATTAAGCAAGGTTCTCAGATTATTTGGGGTGGGGGGGAGCTATACATCCCAACTCTCTGGAATACAAGGCAGCATCAGGTAGAAAAGCACTAGGATATCTCTCGGCAATCACTACCATATGCTGCTAATTCCACTCATATGACTAGCAGAAACTAAATCAAGCAAGGGAAAACACGCATAATATAATCTGCAGTGATACAGTCTGTAAACACTGCATAGAATTTCTCTCTTCTGGATATAACATTTTTAAAAAAATACGCGACAGGTACAGTACATTGCAGACTAAAGGTATATGGGATACCATTTATATTTTAGGGCACCAAGTAAGGTTCATGATCATCTACAACAGGGGTGTCCAACCTTGGCAAAGCTGGCTGAGGAACTCTGGGAGTTGAAGTCCACAAGTCTTAAAGTTGCCAAGGTTGGACACCCCTGATCTACAATATTCCAGAGGAGCACCTAAGGAATTGGCTAGATGTTATTATATACAGGTAGTCTTTGACTTCATTTAGTGACGGTTCAAAGAAACAACGGCACTTTAAAAAAGCGACTTATGACCGTTTTTCACACTTAGGACCACTGCTGCATCACATGGTCAAAATTCAGATGCTTCGCACCTGGTTCATGTTTATGATGGTCGCAGCATCCCGGGATCATGTGACCTGCTTTGGAGACCTTCTGGCAAGCAAAGTCGATGGGAGAAGGCAGATCCACTGAACGACCGCGTTACTAACTGAACAAATGCAATGATCCACTTAACAACCGTGGCAAGCAAAGTCGTAAAATGGGGCAAACTCACTTGGCAAACGTTTTACTTAGCAACATAAATTCAGGGCTCAACCGTGGCCGTAGCTCCAGGACTACCTGTACTTCCTTAAGAAAAGAGCAAATATAGTGGGCAAATTTAAAAGCAGCTCTAGCAGAACACGAGGAATTCGAATTAAGCACGCCATTGCTATTTCAACCTTAGCCCTAAACATTTAAGCATTCACAATTACAATTGGAATAAAATTCTTTGCAGAATCAGACTGCTAGTCACAACAAATGTGTTGTGTGGTGACAAAATGACTGCATGTTTCCAAAGACAGGTTACCAGTTGGAAGACTGCAGATTGGGTAAACAAAGCAAAACAACAGGGAGCGTTTTGAGATCTTAATAAATACAAATGTTATGAATGGGCTTAAAAGCACGAGAGAGAGACAGAGAGCTCTCTGGAAAAAAAAAATACATATATAAATATCCTGTCTAAAAATAACAAGGATGCTTCCTTGTTTACGTTTGGTGAGGAAGACTGAAGATGTACCTGGGAACAGCTTGTGTAAGCAAGTCTGACTTCCGCAATCGCTGTTTATTCAAAATATCCAAACTCACAAGACGGATGGAGAGGAAACCAGGCTGCTGCCCCCGCAGAAAGGTAACGCATGGCGCTTCTACTGATCTGCTCTGTGATTAGCTTTAAACATACACCAAGTTTCTCTCTCCCCCCGCCCCCCCCCCCATTTTATTCCCAGGGAAGCCAGATGTGCTGGCTCAGGGGAGGAAGGCTTCAATTCACAGACTGATAAAGATGCCGAGATGTTTAGAACGGAAAGCCAAGCCTCTCCAATGGGGGGGGGGGGGGGGGGGGCAGGCTACACGTTTGATCTCATCCCGAGAAAGTAAACAGGGGCCTGAAATATCAGCGCAAAGAGGGTGTGTGTGAGACAGAATGGCTTCCTGGCTAGTTGAGGTCGAGAATGCAATTTTGCAGACTTGATGGAGGATTGCTAGAAAATCTGCATGGGTGTACAGGTAACCCTCGACTTACAACAGTTCATTTCGTGGCCGTTCAAAGTTACGGTGTCACTGGAAAAAAATGGGACTGTTGCAGAGTCCCCATGGTCGCGTGATCAAAATTCGGGCCCTTGGCAGTGAACTGACTCACATTTATGACAGTTGCAGAGTCCCGGGGTCCCCTTTCGCCACCTTCGGAACAAGAGAAGTCAACGGGGAAGCCAGATTCACTTAGGAAGAGGCAATGATTCACTTAGCAACCGTGGCCAGAAAGGTTGCAAAATGGAGCCAAACTCACTTTAACTGATGTCTCTCGCTTAGCAACATACATTTTGGGGTCAAGTAAGCCGAGGACTCCCTGTATAGCAGAATCTGAATTATGCCACAAGCGGGATGACAAATTATGGCATGATTTTTAGGCCGTGGCATTAGAACCTCATCAATCGTTTCCTTCTGAAAAGTGCGAGAACAACGGTCTCCCAAATGTCCAAATCCAATTTTTTTAGTATCTAGAGTAGGCGTAGTGCTATTGCTAAAGAAGTATGCTAAAAGCAGGGGTCTCCAACCTTAGCGACTTTAAGACTTGTGGACTTCAACTCCCAGAATTCTGGGAGTTGAAGTCCACAAGTCTTAAAAGTTGCCAAGGTTGGAGACCCCTGTGCTAAAGCAATTCATATTCAGAGCCTCTCTCCCCGGCCCCCCACCTTGGTCCCCTAGCTCTGTCTTCCTCTCAATGCCGAAATTTGACTTGAGTCTAACCAAACGGAAACATTTAATGACAGCGTTTTCAAATAGTTTAGAAGCTTGTGAAGAACAGCAGCATGTGCCTCTCTGGGTCGGGAGACAAACATCCTAACTTAACTTCCCCCTATCCTTTTCAGAGGGAGATAGCAAAGCCATGAGCCACTCAGGGAGGGGTTGTTGTTGTTTTTTTCCAACCTGCGGTTATCCTGCCACACACGTAACAGGGCAGCGGCCACTACAATGGAAGGCATCTGGCTCAATTCTTCCATCCCGAGCGATGAATTGCTACATCTGGAAAGGACTCGATTAATCCTGCACGCAACGCCAACTTGTGATGTTATCTCAGTGCCCGGTGCTTGCCTGATGCAAATGCGAGTCGAGTCCGATGAATTAATCTTAAGTGTCTTTCTTCGATAGGCAGTTATCTACGCAGGAAAATTAGGTTATGTGGGCATTGGATCTCTTGTATTGGGAGAATTCATTTAGTAGAGCTATTCTTGACAAATTAGAAAGGTTTGTCTAATCCAGGGGTCCCCAGCCCTGGTCTGTGGACCAGTTTGAGCCACGTTTGAGAAGGGGAATGAAGTAGCCATAAATATGATGAGTGGATGGAATGTAACTACTGTAGTTGGAGCTTGGAACTTTACCATAAACATTCACTGAAGCTTAAACTTTGGAACTTTGTCCCAACCATAAGTCCTTCAGGTTTGCTTTCACGATGAAGCATCAAATATGGAGACAGTGCATTTCTTAAAGGCCTCACCAGAATGATGCCGCCTGTGAGCCATGTGCTTTTCATCTCTGATCCAACTAAAAGATTCCACCAAGATAGTTAAATTGGTGCATGGCCTTCCAATAACAGCATATTGCAGGGAAGCTACAGCTATTGTGAATTCACCCCTCAGGAATGCTGAGTAGTCCTATTTAAAATCATAGGTTGACATATATACACTTCCTGCAGCTTCAGAGTCTGCTTCCCATAGTAACCAACTTTGTAAAAAAAATTGCACAACTCCTCTCAATTCAGCTTAGTACACAATTTGAAGTTCTATTTTGCTCCAATCAATAAGAGTATGTTGCTTTCTAGAGAAGTACAGAAAACTAAATGGAGTGTATACATTTTATACAGATACAAGTGACTCAATTATTCTATGTTCTATGTCAACTTTAAGTGCCTATACAAAGAACTATCCAGCATTACTCTGATCATGTGAACTATGCACTAGCATAACATTCAGAGTAGGCACATGGGTCAGCATAAAAATAAACACTTAACCATGAAACGCCCCTTAACATTAAAAACCACAATATATTTGTTTCTAATCCCACATTCTACCTCGGTACCTAACACGGCACTTCTATATCCCGACCTCCAAACTTGATGTCCTCCTGTCCCTACCACCAGTAGCCATGGTTAGCTTGAGCTCATGGCAACTGAAGTTCCATTCATTGAGAAGCTACCCGTTTGGGAAAGGGGATAGATCAGTAAAGGCTCACCCATATTTTCATTTGTGACCATGTTTAGACCCTTTGCAAGCAATTTTAAAAGAATAGCCAGGATGGCAGAACGGGACAGCAAACAGTTCACGTTCCTTTCTTGACAATCTGGCAAGCAAAACGACGCCTTTTTTTCTCCCCCAATGGGCAGCATTTGAACTTTCCCTAAGAAGTGGTAATTGAAATGCAGAAGTAGGTTGTACCATTTGGCTACACTCTGGAGGGCATGGTTAATCTGAAGGAAGGGGCAGGCGGTGTTTTTAACCGCAGACTTGGATAGGCTGCCTCAACAATGCCTGATTGTGTTTTTCCTGATCCAGCAAGCAAAATGATTAGCAGCGAACTTGTTTCTGAATTGGGGATTGGGGTGTCTAATGCTTCGAGCGCATTAAACATGATAGCCGTGCATATTTCAAAGCCGCTTAAAAAACAGCCTGAAAAGGATCAGCTTCCTTCCTACGTGGAGCTGCACATATTTCATACCTATAAAGGCCCTGGATATGTCTGCAGCTTTTTCCTGTATGGATTTGTTCCTCCAGGTCCTACAGCTAAAGCATGAAATCTTGCAGAGACAGACAAGCCCCACCCACCCCCCGGTCTCACCACAGGACGAGACAAGGCGCTCAATACATTGGCTACTATTGGCTTTAAATGCTCATCCCTTCCTACTATGCCAAGTTATGTTTTCATTTTTAAAAGGAGGGGGGGGAGAATTTATAAATCCAGAGAAACCACTTCTTTAGAGCTGGGCATTCTTCTAATGTACTGTCCTCCGTGTTACAGTGAAATCATACCATCCACAGCTGAAACCTTGACCTCCGAGCAATGATAGAGGCATTTTTATGACCCATGTTCAAAATCAAGCCGTTCCCTCTAGGGGATTAGGATTCAGGCAAATCCCTCGCAGAACTCTCTGAGGATAAGGCTGGCTGTTAAAAACAAACCCTGATCTATGCTTACCACTCACAATGTAACGACAGGATTATCTTCTCCAGTCTCTTGCGTCTCATCCTTGGCTCAAGGAAGCCACAGGGAAGGCTGAGGTCTTAGGAACAAACCCCACTCCAGTTGCAAATGTACACAATAAATGACTCATGGTAATGATCAAAGGGCCTCCTCACCCTTAACCATAACTACTTACTCTGTACTGTTCAGTGACGCTGTTTGAGGTAACCGAGGCTTTACTGAATTCCTGGCATCCTATCCAGAGATAGTGACTGACTCACAAGACTAACGGTGGCTTCCAAACCATTGTTTTTAATAAATGCATGAAAATGGCATTTGACAGCTTCCAAGGTCTTGAAGACACCAAACTCTCAACATAAACTAGCCCACCTTCCCAGCAATTTCCTGACATCAGCTTTTGCGCTTCAAGTAGCAGAAAATGCTTCTGGGCTAAAGTGAAACTAAGCTCAAAGAACAGCGGAGAGAGAGAATCCAGCTCTATTTATGGCTCTAACCACAAGGCTCGATGCTTTCTTAATTCTAAAGGTAGGCCGCGCAGAAGTGGAAAATATTGCTTGCGCTGTGGTAACAACAAGTTTGTTTATTTAGAATATTGCCCCAAACAGCGTTTCAAAGATGCTCGATTTATACAATATTATTTGACATTGTCTCAGCACTCTATTGGGAAGTGGGAGGCAGCTGGGATGCTACATCAACATTAAGAGATGGTTTTTTATGAACACAGCTCGGCCTACCACCTCTTCCCACGTGTCTTCCAGCATCCATCCACACTCAGATGCAGCGCCTCCATCTCAAAAACCCTATTGTCATCCTGAAGCTTAATCCCTAATTTAAAATGTAATCACCACAGGATGAAAACAGGCAGCTGCCAACTCTTCAAAGCAGGCTGGAAATTGCCTGTTTCTCTTGCAAAGTAAAAAAAAACAAACCCTGCATTTCTTTAACAGAGCTCTCTCTGAGGAGCCTACAGAGAAAGGTGGCTGATAAAAGATTAGAATAAATAAGGTGGAAAGCTTCTGGATATTGAATGCATCTCCAAGTTACCTAGGGAAAATAATAGGGCAGGTTTTAGCCTAAGGTTAAAACATACATTCTCCTCTGACCTCACTTCATTGTCTGTACCCAAAGGTGGTTTTTCAAAAGGCAACTGGGCTTTGTTTTTCCTTGAAGATGTTTTCCTTCTCATTGAAGCTGCTTCTTCAGTTCTGACTGAATGAAGCAGCTGAATGGAACTGAAGGATCTTCTTGGATGAGAAGTGAAATGTCTTCAAGGAGAAACAAAAGTCCAGTTGCCTTTTGAAAAACCACCTTTGGGACAACCATGTCCTGGATGACTGAGAATCTCCATAGAGATTCATTGTCTGCCCTTGCTTGATATGATTTAATTTTATTGGTGGATACTTTATCTGGACAAAATTTGTAGCTCAGGGTTGAAGTGAGGGGGTCCCTGGTGTACTCTAAGCTTGGTGGTTTTCTTGCAGACATGTCATTACCCAAAATAGGTAGTAGCATCATTGGCACTGATGATGTTACCTAGTTTGAGTAATGAAACGTCTGCAAGAAAACCACCAAGCTCAGAGAGATCCCATATCAGCATTTCTTTACTAATTTTTGACAGCATTAGCTGGTTTATCAACTGAACTCATTTTTGCACATAATCTATCTTGCAAATCCCGGCACCTTCAAGAGGTAGGTGATTTTAAAATTAGAGCATAGACATGGAGTTTTCGGTGAAAATGGAACGAGCAGAGCAGCACCTCCAACTCAAACTGATGAGCTGCCAGGGAAACATAAAAATTCAGGGGAAAACCAAAATGAAGCAAAAGCAAACGGAGACGAGGAGTTTGGAAAGAAGCAAGGGGACTTTCCCAGATCCAGGCACGCTCTGGAATACCACGGATAAATTCCAGCACTAGCCAGCATTACCTCGGCTGGGAATTCTCTTCATACATTCTTTCTTTCCCTTCTTTAAAGAGGCTGATGGTTTGTTTTGTCTTCTTCATCAGGTTCTCCATGAACACCCGGAAGTATTCATTCTCTCCCAGAGTCTCCATCTTTCCCTCGTAGCAGGACAGGATGGTTCGCAGGTGCTGGTAGGTGTCAGGAAGCAGGTCTAGAATGTAGGGAGGACTGTTCTTTAGTGCCAGCTTGGGGTTCTGACATAAACGCACAACCTAAGAAGTGTAAAGATCAAACATAAATAAATGTAAAAATGCCTTCTGGAGGGCAGCGCGATTTTAAAATTTAAGAATGCATTCTCACAATAACAGCGTGCTTTAATGAATTCTCAAAAACGTGACAAGTGAGAGGCTGAACCTAACAAGCTACGAACTCTGATTTTGAAATTTTAAACCTACAAAAAAGTTAAGTTCAGACCACAACGCATGCTAATCTCAAAACTCGAGGCTAGACGTCTGTGTAGCCCACCAGCTGCCACAGAAACTTCTCCCACAGAGACATTAATGAAGAGGCCATTTAAAAGTTGTTGAAATTACTATTCCATCATCAGCCTTTTTGAGACAGTGTGCACAAAGCATCAAAATAATGACGCAAGAAAAAGGTTTCACTTAAAAGAGAAATGTCCTAGCTCCTTGACTTCCTATGTCCACTCGAGAGTGGTATCTTAGCAAAGTTGGATTTCTAACCCAATTATCAGCGGAGCACTTTGGTGGGTGACAGTCACCTTGTCACTCAACTCTCTGTAAGGATTCATGACCCAGAATCATTTGAGGAGGAGGAATGGGGTACCGATACCCTTGCCCAAGGATCTGCTAACTTACGCTTGGCATTATTGTAACTCGACAAAGCTCAAGAGGAGATGAAGGAAGACCAAGGAACTGAAGATGAGCAGAGGGTGTGTGATCATTGGAATATTTTGCAAAACTCCTCTTAGGGTGAGCGGATATGTAACACTGAAACTTTTCAATGCTCAAGAAGTTAAAAGAAAAAAAAGACCTGATGAAACCACAGGCTTTATTTTACTGCAGGAGACCACGTTTTGCTATTTGACATAATGTACCAAGTCTGGGATGGGGAAGGAGGAGCTACTGTATGTGGGCTACTGCCAAACTGCAAATATTAGAAGGCTTATTAGAATAATCTTAAAATACAGATAGCACTTGGCACCTCAACTATCAAAAAGGAAATGGACTGTGGAAACAGCTAATCAGTTATTTTTATCAGCTGTAACTTTAGCTGACCAGTAACCTCCCTGTGTTCTGTTTAATACAAGCAAGGGTATTGTGCATCCAAAATATCACATTATTCTAATTCTACAGATCCTTCCTTAGGAGCTAGGTAGAGCAATGTTTCTCAATCTTGATAGCTTTTAGATATGTAGACTTCTACTCCCAGAATTCCCCAGCTGCCTTCCCTAACTAAAAGAATAATCTGCCTGGAAGATTCTCAAATAATAAGACCATCAACATTCAAGAAAAGTAAACTCCCTTGGGATTGTTACATTTTCAGAAACCATCAATTACTATGCATATATAACAGTAGCATTTTTCATATACGTGGATTTTACGAAGACTCTTAACTATGGACTTGCCCAGCTCTTTTAATGACCAATTCTCTAGCTATCATTTCTCAATAGGATTTATCATTCACCTCCTTCCTCAGGTGTAGTCTGCATTTTTCTTTTAAAAATATGCACATGGTGATTAAAATTCAAATAACTGTAAGCCACTGCACAACTCCATGCAATCCAACGTGACTTGGATTTGTTAAAGCCTCCAGAATAATAACTTGTATATGGTTTAAAGATCTAGAGTTCAAAATATAAAGGACAAAATGCTCCAAGATACCATGATATAAATTTCCTAAACAGGCTAACAAAGAAAGGACACAATGCAATCAAAACAACTATGGATTATGCTTCAGCTCGGGTTTGATCATGCTTTCATTAAAAAGCCTTTAAAATCATGAAAACGTGCTAAAGTACAGAACAAAAATGCATTTTATTTTTGTAAAGCTATTTTATATTCTGAATAGTTCAAAGAGAAAATGATTCACTGACAACAGCATTATCCAGGAAATCAAAAGCACCAAAAAATAATGTTCCTGCATCAGAAATAATGGGAAATGGAAAATGGCACAGACGCCATAAATCTAATCACTATATACATCATACGAGCATTCTCATGACTTCTAGGAAACCAATACCAAAAATAACCATATCCTCTGAAAAGTTAACACGTCAGAAAAGGAAGGGCATATTACTTTTCATTAGTACTAGTTATCATTTAGTTCAATTAGTTACTTCCAACAGGACCATAAAATCCAACTTTCTCTTAAAGCAATTTCAGAACAGCTATTCGGTATCAGTAGTTATAACTTTAATAGAATTTTATAATTATAATTTTACATTCCTGTTGAATTGAAAGTAACTAAGTTATATTAAAGTTCATTTTCATCACAGAACCTTAGCAATCCTAAACTCATGATTTCTAACCCAAAATCGTATAACTAAATGGAAGCAGAGTATAAATACTACATAGTTATAGAGATACAGCAGTAAGATTTTAAAGAATATCGAATTTATTTCATATATTAGAACTGCTATATAGTAAGATGCTTTTTTATATTCTATCTCTATGATTTATGCTGTACTGATTTAATGCATCATTGACTACCCATAGTTTCTCTTAATTATTTGTAGTAGGTTAACTAGCATCTAGTTTAAGATTGAATACAGATGCTTGAATTTTAATTAGAAAATGGATGGTAAATATTTTATTTATCAATATGTGGCCACCCATCGCCCAAGAAGTTACTTTAGGTGGCTACATCATTAGCAAATACCAGCGTTTCTCAACCATGGACTTCAACTCCCAGAGCTGTGCTGGCTGGGGAATTCTGGGAGTTGAAGTCCACTGATCTTAAAAGTTGCCAAGGTTGAGAAATGTTGGCACATACTATATTTATACTCCTTCCTTGGCTTTTACAGCTCCTAAGAACAAGTAACTTCAACAACAAGAGGCTCTTCACCAAGTACTAACGTCATAGCAATAATTATAGTCAAGTATTATCTGATCACATCAAGGTTTCGATCATGATCATTGGGATAAAATTAAGAGTGAGTCTTAGTTAATCAAAACAAAACTAGAAGGGAAGATGATGGCTTGGTTGGGCTGTATTCACACTGTATAGGGACTTACTATAGGGCATGATAATATAATTATATGAAACACAAGTTCATTAATGACATCATGGCACCCAGGACAGCATTTGACTTGGGGCTGCCCAAAGAGGCTGATAGCTGGCAGCCTTACATTTTAAAATGGAAATATTTTGCACTGACAATTGTGCGATTCTGTGAAAAGTGTGCCTTCTCGAAAACGTTCCCAGTTTGAAAACAGATGACTATCTTATCTTCAGGAAGGGAAGGAGTAAAGCATAAACATTTAAATTGTTGCTCAATATTTTAAAGAAAGGAAAAAGAGGAAACAGCAAAAACATTATTTCAAACCACATGAACTGGTGAGCTCTCTAACAGTCTGACTGACCTACCATGCTTCACCTCTCTGCAGCATTCTTGCTTCAGTTTATGCATACGAAATAGGTTTATTAACTACTGTACTAGCTAATTATTTACTAATTAAGTCCTTGATTGTTTTATTTTTTAAATGCACTCATAGGATTCAAAAAAGCACATTTTAACCAGCTGTTGGCCCCTCAACTTCCACTCATTTTTTAGCAACCAAGCATAATGTTTTAAAGGTACTTAAAAGCATTGGCCTAAAAGCTTGCCAAAATTCAGAAATTATTCTTTCGCTTATAATGTGATGGTTACATCTTCTATCCTTGGAAAACTTTCTAATTTTGCTAGACTCAATTCCTCAAATACAGTATTTAGGTGGCCTCTTGTTATTTTTAACATTCTCACTTCAACTGTTACACCTCAGCTATATTAGTATATATCCACAGCTTTAATACTGAAACAACACATTAGGTTCATGAATGAATCAAAAAATCTGTTACAGTTCAAGACCTGATGATGCATTAGACTATTTATAAGCCTAATAGTTGTACATATCAGGACTAAGCAATTAACATAAAATAGGCGAAAAAAGTTCCATCCATGTTATCTGGTTAAAACATAATGGGCAGCTGACTATAGGCACAAAAACTGATTTTTCCTCCCATGCCAACCAGTAAGCGAGCAACCAAACTGTAACAATGTGTGTTAAAACACAATTTCAGAAGCATGGCAGAATCTCCACCCAAGAGTAGCTTGATTCACAAGCAAGACCAACAGCATACCTTAGCACAAATGTTTAGAAACAGATGTGCAGGCACCATATCCTTAAACATCGAAGCATGCATTTTTCCTCAATATGTGCCACCCTAAGAAAGTACCTGCCTTCTAAAACCCACAGTTGAAAAATTCATCCCAACAACCTGCAACTTCTTGGCATCAAATCAGCCTATTTGATTAGGGGGGCTTATAAATTTGATAAAGAAATAGATTTCCAGGCCACATCATTAGTCCAAGCCCTTTCATGCAGATTCTTATCAAACCTTTCATGGCATCTAAAGTTTGATCTGAAGCCAAATTTCCAGTTCCCCAATATCCCAACTTCCCAGAATCCAACCTACAACTATCTCCTTCTTTCCAGATAAGACAGCCTTCTCCTCGGGATATTCACATTCAGCCAAAGAATAAAGCAGAATGTAACTGCTTTTTGCCTGCATTGATTTCATGTTCCTCTTGCTCTTCCTCACTTCCTTCCTTCACCTTCTAAATTAAGATCAGATCCTCAGGACAGGAACTTGTTTGCGATTAGCAGCAGTTGCAAAATAACCAATGCAGACTGACAGTTTTGTATCATTCTAACTCCCAGGAAGACTTGAGCTTAGGTTCATACTAAAACACTAACACTATGACATCCCAGCCATCCAGCAATCCACCCTATCCTGTTTTTCCTATACTATATTTTCTTCTGGAGACCCCTAGAATTTCCATTTCTAACAGAAAATAAGTATCTATAGCTCAGGATTGAACTGTGGGGTTCTTGGGGTCTCAGAGAGCCTCCCACAACTCCATTTCTTACCAGCCCAGTCTACAGACCTGACCTTTGCATGGAGAGATGGAATCTCATTTCCTTTCCAATAAGTCTCTTGTTATGATGCTCAGTCATAGTCAGCCAGATGCTTAGACTATATTTGGAATTTGGGTCTACTTACGGAGTCTCCGCCAAGGACCTGAGACAGGTAGATGCTGTTGCTTGATGGTGTTAAGAGGTACTTTGCAGGATGTCAGCTGTTCCAAGTCAAGCTGCCTTTTGCAATTGACTGATGGGGACTGTGTCAATGCCGATGGTGCCCAGATGTTTTGGGGTTGCACCCAAGGCACCTACTGCTATTGGTACATTTGCTTTCTTTTGCTTATTAGGACAGTTGGCCGCACAGTCATCCAGATGTTCAGACTGGATCTGGCCTTTCTATTCACCTAGGAGTCCTTCCGAAGAACCTGGCATAGGCACAGGTGGATGTTTTACAGTGTCAAAAGGATGGAAACAGTTCCCAGTCAAGCTGCTTTTTGCAACTGACTGACAGGGACAGTCGGTCACACAGTCAGCCAGATGTTCAGGGTGGATTTGGCCTTTTTATCCATCTATGAGTCCTTCCCAAGGACCCAGCATAGGTAGATATTGCCGTTTGATGATCTTAAAGGTATGGAGGCAGGTGGTAAGTCATTCCAAGCAAAGCTGCCTTTTGCAATTGATTATTATATTATTTGGCAACACCTTCTCTACCTCATTCAGATATAGGTATGATGATATATATATCCAAGCAAAGCTGCCTTTTGCAATTGATTGCTATTATATTATTTAGCAATACCTCCCTACGTCTCTTATATATATATATATATATATATATATATATATATATATATATATATATATACACACACACACACACACACACACACATACATATGCATATACACATATACATACACACACACACATGTATGTA